TGAAAGGCCAATTTAAGCTAGCGTAGTCCTATAACAACTAATGTAGATATAAATTCTTACGCTATAAGAGTATTATTCAAAGAAAGGCGCTGTAACATAAATTTCCATGCAATAAAACTCACAGAATATTGAATTTCCCATTTGAATGTTCGGGATTTTGTCTTAGCCACGCAGATGAATGATATTTAAAATTTAAATTCAGAGCAATATTCTTAAATTCATTTCTAACAATTTATGTGGTCCTTAGGTGCTTTAAAAAAATAAACTATCTTATTATGTCATTGGTTCGAAATTCATAAAGAATTTCGTAATTAATCTTTTTAGAATGCAAATCTACATATAATTGCTAAAATGAGAAAGTGTCTGACAAAGGATTAACTAGTATCCATTAAAATTCCTCTCTCAAAAAACATTCACGGAAAAGTCATGCAACGTGCGTGAGACTATGGTACTTCAGTTTAACTATTAAAGAGCGTTAGTATATTCTATAACGAAGCAATATATGAAATGACTTCATCCGAAATAGATACTTCGGTTGCAGTGCAAAGGGAATAAAGGCATCTTTCAACAATTTTCATGCGATATCGCATTTTGAAGTAAGAAACTTAGTTTCTTCGATCATAACTTGATTCCTCTCATGCTTCAGTTACTTTATTTGCAAGATTTCTCACCATCTGACTCCCCAGTTCTCTTTGATCAAGAATGTGGAACGGGATTAACTTCTCATAATTTAAGGTATTGAAAACAACGCGATGACCCCACCTTTCTCCCATTGGTTTCAGAATGTCCGGCGTATTTGCCAAAGCCCGGATACTATCTGTCTGCCACAAGAACACCTCTCGATAGAAAGTAAACAGCTGTCTGTTGCTTTAGAAATGGGCAGTAATCTGTTTCGTGTAAGGGTTCATGTCTTGAAGAAATGCGTTTAAATTTGGCCCCTTAACACAATTAAGAATCCACTACGTACCTTATTTATGATTTTTGTCTGAAGTAAAATACTCGTTATAGGAACCGCCCAGACGGTATAATAGTTATGAGCCGACTGTGATACGGAATGGCCGCGTTCGAATCGCGGAGAAGGCATGGATGTATATAGTCTGTCCCTTTGTAGGAGGTACCGGTGGCTACTATAGCCTCCATTTATGGCGACAACTTTCTGGTCTTGAGCTGAGACGACTGCCCGCCATTGATTAAATATATTATATATATATATATATATATATATTATACTCTTTGTAGAAGTGTTATGTTATTCCCACCGCCAGCATTCGTCCAAAACAAAATAACAATACAATTTGTACCTGGTTCAACTCTACTTGAAAATGTATAAACTCTGTTTCCATACCGACTACTTCAAGTTAGACGTAATAGCAAGAGCTGCAATTATGTTCCGATAGATGCTAATTCGAGGTTGCTATTTTTTATATTTCCAACGGAACAAACCTTAGTTTTCCGTTACATTCTCGGAACATATGAGTATTATAAATTCATAGTTCCCTTGAAATACAGAATTTACGTAAAAATAGTTACTGCGTACCATATCTTCTTAGAACTGATGCTGAAAGCGTTCAGTACGTGAATTTCAAGTTTTGTGCCTTCATAATTACCATTTTGCTGGCTGAAAATGCATGTTGTTCTTTCGAAGTCTCTGAGAGTACCAGCAAACATTATTGATTGCACAATCAAGTTATACCCTCTGTGTTTAGTATTTATTGAAAGAAATTACATTCGCAATTTTCCCACAGGCCACTTTTCCGTAAATTGCTGGCAATTTGTCTCCGTCTCCACTTCTAACAATTTAGCCAACTCTTCTTCGGGACAGGGGTTATTACACCACGTGCATATCTCTTACTTCCATTCCTCTTCTGAAATTTTTCAGTAACAAAAAGAAGTTAACAAAAAAGATGGAAAAAACTTTCACTTCTACTTCGTCAGGTTACTACATCTTGGTGGAACTCCTATAAATGAATCATAATTACACTTAAGTAAAAAGCAATACTCGAAGAATGCCGCATTTTTAACAAATGGCACCGGTAACTGAAAAATGTCCGAGGTTAAGGGGGGGAGGGAATGCGGACAGGACAGTTCTTGTGTATCATTTCGAACCGATCCATCCTCGTAGAAAGGGACTGATTCGCAAAAATTTACTGAGCAGAACTGAACCTCTCCATCCAAACTTAAGGAGGGCGTGGCTATAATAATCTTGCTAATAACAGGTTAACTTTTGGAAAGGGGAGGGAAGAAGATAAAAGGGGGGCAGAAATAATACACCGCGGTTTTCGAAACTGGAAGAGGAGGGGGAAGGGGAGATGGACGAATCTCTCTCTCTCATCGTTGATGGAAACCTGTTTGCGGAAAGGACTCTTCCAGGGGAAAGCATTTGAAAGGGGGTGCACTAAAACAGTGGTGATTGTTACTGCAGTCAGTTGAGCCTATGCCTCCGAATTTTGTAGACTTAATTTATGCGGGAAGCTCTGAGTTACAAACATCGGAAAAGATAAAGAAAAGAAACATAATAACATAAACGGCCGACCGCACCTGCTTGGCATGGGATTGGGCTCGCTGGTAGCTACAACTGCCAAGCATTTTAATCGCTTTCCCCTAAAAAAGTGGCTGTTTCTCCCTTTTGGGAAACAAAGTGAGCGAATTCCATTGTTCAAGATGATGAAGCGTTAGTTCTTAATCATGAAATTGTAAAAATATAGAATCAAATGAGATGATGATGACTGTTAACAAGCTTGGGCAACAACAAAAGTAAATGTTTATTACAGCGATGACCATAATTAAAATTACTTTTGACGAGAGTAGTGAAATAAATACCTTTCTTACCTTTTACATTATTGTTTTTACCTCTTTCAATTTTACAGAAATGTATGAATTTAGTTGTCAACAAGAATAAGCATTTGTTGCAATGGTGGTCAATTTTAAAATTACTTTTGCTGATAGCGGTTAAATTTGCATCTTGTCCACACATTTTGTTCTTGTGTTACATTAATTTTCATTAAAGAAAATTAAAAAAATTTGAAAATAAAAATTTGCCTGTATCGCCTCTAATTTAAGAAAGTTTAAATCTAATTTCTCCTATAAAATTTGCTTAAGACATTTTTGTTTGCTTGGAATGAGTGAAATTTTTTCCTTTTAAAACAAACTGAATTATTCAAAAAAATTGTTATTCCCTTAATGTTTATGTTAATAAAATTATTAAATCCTATTAAAAATCTAAAACTGACCATAAGTTCAAGTGGAAATTTAATGCTAACAGCATAAGCAGCTACACAGAAAAAACAAGAACCTTTTCTCTGTAAGCTGAATTTCTAAATCATGGATATTCGACTGAAATCCAGGTATATGTCTCAAAAATCACGATTTCCCATTTCCTAGGAAATTCCCATTCCTAAAATTTTGCATTTCCTAGAATGCTTTTATGTAGGCAACAGGTAATGGACTCATCCAGTCGCCCCAAGAAAGCAAAACTAAATGATGCAAGCCTCATGATGAAGAAGAAAATACCGGAATTCTCCTGATCTCTTACATAGTAGCGCGCCTAGTCCCTAAATATCAGAAGCTGGGTTCAGATTCCAGTAAGATGCCAGGTCTTTATAATTTTCATTTAAAATTCATGGCCATTTAAATTATGAGAAATCTTCGTAACTTTTATTATTAAGAAGTATTACATCCCCCTGAGACAAAACACGCAGATAAATATCCTTTTATTTAAAGGAATTTCATTTTTGGCAAATTTATGAATTCAAATCTCGGAATTTCGCAGTTGTTTAATTCTGATTTTAAACGCTTTCAATAGCCATATAATATTTAAATGAGTAAAATCGCGAGAGAAGAAAATGCAAGTTTCCGCTCATATGGTAGCTCTAACTGGGATTTCATAAGTAAACTATTAATATTATTTTAGCCAGTCTTGCGATATTGTTATAAGTTTACTAAATCTGTAAAAAGCTTACAGCTTTAAATGCATAAATAAATAGTTAAAAAAAAGGACAGTTGACTATTTCAGTACTAATCCATGCAGAATAGCCATTTAAATATGTTCTTTAAAAGCTATAGAATGTTCTTGACTCTTTCTATGATTGTATAAAATCTAAGTTTGTCGAATAGAAGCCGAACCAAGGACCTGCAAGCTCACAGATCGGCATTCCGCCTGTGAGCTACCGAGGCCTTTGATTAGTTACTTTTAATTTGCAATTTAGGGCTTGATTTTAAGTGCTTTTTATCCGGAGTTGAATTTGATCACCAGTTTGATGGGATGCGATTTTCCCATTTATAATTGATGTTATCCATCAAAGGAGGTAAAAATAAAATTAAATGAAAAAACAACTTTTACGTAGAATGTTTATTCTAGTAAGGAAATAGGCCTCTACTTACAAAGGTATAGCATACAGTTTTCCCCATTAAAAATCTACAAGATTTAAACTTTTAGTACACTTATTTAAGGTTGTGTAAAATAACTTAATTTTTCATTTGTTGATTCCAGACGGAATGTCAACATCAAATTTATCTTGCGTTTTAGGAAGAGTGTAGATTAATTAAGAATTTTATCATAATAAATCATCATTGCTATACGTAGAGATTTTATTCTATTAATGCAGAGCGCGAGTTAATAGCTACCATTGAAGCCTCTTTAAAATTCTTCTGTCTTATTTCAAGCTCTTTGAGGAATAAGTAAATATATAAATTATAAGAAAATTCAAAAGAAAAGAGTAAAAATACTGGGTACTCCAGACTTTCGTAAATGTTTACCTTATTTTAGATTTTCTTACATGTGAGAGAATTTCTACAGCCAGTGCATTTTATTCGCAAAGCATCCAACATTTGACAAAAATCAGTCAGCTCTGTTTTGATAGCTTTGGAGAAATCCCTGCCTTCACAGTTTTCCATTAAATAATCCCTAAAAGAAGGGACACCTTTCCGAGCAGTCGGCAACCTTTTGCTAGGCAGTAACGAGAAAAGGAGCGACTTTGTGGTCTTTCCTCTCTTCCTTCCATCCCGCTGCTCCACCCCCCGTTTGATTCTCCTCCATCCCCCTTTGCGCGGGAGGGGGAAAGGGGAACTCGCAGAGAAGGTATTGGACGATTCCTGACGAAGGTACGTTCAGCATAGCTTGACGCGATTTCATCCTAAAAACTCTATTCAAGCACTCACCCTGGAGGCAAGAGCATCCACAGCTTCGGGAGCTGTTTGTTTCGGGGTGCCGGTCTTTTCTTTTCTCTTTTTTTTTCATACTTTATTTACTTTTTTTTTCCGGAGCGAGAAAAAGATTTTCGACTGCGTGCGTCAATTGCCCGGCTGAATCGTCGTCGCCCGAAGCGCGGATTCGAGACCGTCGAAACTGGGCCATCGTGTCCGAAAAACTGGACGCTGTCTGATTGAAAACACTTCCAGAACTTTTTCAATCTTTAACCCGGGGTCAGGAGAGTGCAGTCACGAGGGCCTTCTCTATGAATAAATTGTCGTCTCCACAGCATCGTCTAAGCCTTTCATATTTACCTAAAGGAATCTGATGAAAAAAGACTCTGGACTTGTTATTCAACCCCGTTAAAAAGTGTGTAATTAATAATTCGTGGATCATTATCGAATCATTTGTTTTCCAAACTGTTTGAAGTTTTCTCCGTGATAGTGAGAAGAATATCCTAACTGCCAAAGTTTTCACTATTTGTGATATATTTATTTAATCTGTTCTTTGTTGTCAACTACCTTCTGGGAGCGAAAACATTTCAGTGTTCGGATTCCCAAACATTTAATGGTCAGTCCCATCGTTTGTTTATTGTTCTGCTGAAAGGGTGATCACGTTGGCCGAGGTGCAGATCTTGCCTGAGGTGGGGGTGGATACCCCCCGGGAGACGTGGGAGATGTTGATGGCTCAGCTTCAGCATCAATCGGACATGGTTTCATCGAGGAAAGGAAAGGGTCCTCCGACAGAGGGGGAAGGTATGTCCCCCTTTTCACCTACGCAAGCCATAGCTCCGAAAACTGGAATCACCCGCTCTCAATTTTCTTTGCCTTATGATTCGGAGGTAATTATAAGTTTATTTATAATTTAATATATTTTAATCATGCATAAGTATTTATAAAACATTGCTTTATAAATTTACTCACATTATTTCATAGATAAAAGGATTTGCTTACATTATTTCATAAATAAAAACTGTGCGTCCAAAAATTTGCATAAATATATATTCTGTTTAAAATTATTTTATGATTTTATATGCCCCCAGCTTTGCTTTCATTATTCCAAAAATAATTTGAAAGAACAAATTATTTTTAATATCTTTGTAAGAAATAGTTTTCAAATTTATATAAACCTTTTGTTTAAAAAACTGGAGCATTAACATTAAAGCAGATTTTGCCGATTTGCGGAAATATTTCGGACAATTTTTGAATTCAGATATTATTTTAAAATTAACTTGAAATTGATTTTACACAATGGGCAAAATTATCTTTATTTATCTCTTTAATATCGATGTAAGATCAGTTATTCTGAAAATTGCTTTCTAGTGTGTCTAGCCAACCTAATATCAAATCCATTGTTTTAGAATTATAAATAAACATTGATTGTTAAGTGTCTATGTAATTTTAAAATAACTATCTTCGAAATTATTTTAAAATGTATGTCTAATGAATGATCTTAAACTCTAGTCATTAAATACACGTATGTGAGTAATTGTAAATAAAAAAAATCATGTAACTAAATTTAAATTATTTACGGCATTTTAGGTTTAATTTTTGGATAGTTATTACTTAATTGACGATTTTTTATTATCATTTATGTGATTTTCCACCGGTTTAAAAATTTATTTATGATTCGTATCCAACTATGAGTCTTCAAATAAAAAATATTTTGTTACGCCTCAAAAATAAATTTTAAATGCAGAATTCTAGTTAAACAATTTCGGTAAATAACAGTTAATATTAAGCTAAAACTTAACTATTTATTTTTTTTAGAAAAAACGCCGAGTGCTCGGATTCATCTACAAGTGAAGAATAAGTCCGATCGCTTGTTTATCATTATGATGAGAATACGATCAATTCATCAGTTATTTGAATTCTTAAAATTTAGAACTATCTTAAATAATTTTGATGCAAAATGCTCGAGAAATAAGTTATAAATAAAAAAATATCTCACATATATTTGTATACGATTGTCTTTTTCATTGTAAATAGGATCTATAGTTTCCCTTAGAAACTTTTTACTAAAGATAATTCTTGAGTATAGGGTTGCGTTAAATTATTTATCTATTTCAGTTACCTGTGTAGTAACTTTATTAACAGCATTTTAATTAAGAATGACTAAATCAGATGGGAATAAATTTCTATCTGATTTAATCATTCTTGATAGAATAAATTACTTTTATATGTAATAGGAAAATCTGTCAGTCTTAAACATTAATTAACTTTTATAGTAATCCATAATATATCTTTCTATCAAATGCTATATTTGTCTTCAAATATTGGTTTGAGATTTAACCAGTAAATATGTTATAAGAATTTTAAATTAACTCATTAATCAAACGTTATTGTGCTTAATTTATATGATTCCGAGTACGTTTGATATTAACTTTAATTAAATCAACAACAAATACCTCGTATTTAAAAATTTATTAAAATAAATAAAAAAAAATTATGTCGGAGGTACAGAAAATTAATTAGAATTCTTATTCAGAAGAGAAATATCAAGCACTTTTATTTAGTTATGTTGTCATACAGCTGCAGCGTATAATAATTGCATGATGTCTATTAGAATTTCTTCATCATAATATTAAAAACTACGTTACGTTACGTACTTGTTTGCCTCAGTTACCTCAGAAAAATCTTCCACGTCCTCTTGAGCAATTTTGTAGTAGTAAATGGTATTATCATAATATTCTATAAAACCGAGGAATAGATGTAATAAACGTAACAGTAAAGTACAAATGCAGTGTAATGCGAGTGCAGTATTCAACAGTAAGAACCTAGTACCTAACAAGCATAGCAATGTAAGCGTTAGCGCAAACAGAATAATACTAAATATAAATACTGCATACGAGCCTTAACATATCTCAACAGCGCAACAGAGCGTTGTAATGGGCAATTTGAGAGCCTTTCGTTATGGGACAAAAGAAATAATTTTCTAAATATGAATCAGTGTTTAATGAGCTTGAGGGATAGTTCATGTAAGCGAGGATTCCTTTTTTAAAAATTTAGATTAATCGTGACTGCCTATAAGAATATTATTCTACTAACTAGAGAATAACAACGCCATTTATAATAGATAATTATTTAATTATTATTCGAGTCAGATCAATGGAAATAAAGTCCTAGGTTCCAGATGTATGTTTTAAGATGCTGAGAAATATTTTGCTTTTAACGGTTAAGCAATAAATTTCAGCAAGCAATTAGCAAAGCAAACTGCTGTATTTTAAAGAATATAACTTGGCAGGTGCTTTTTGTTGTACCATAAATTTCCCTGTGCTTTCTGGCTCGTATAGCATCGTTAGGCAGCCGGTGAAAACCAGTTCTATTACATCAACATTCTTTTACTACATATACTTTCAAAAATAACTATTAAATTTTATCTTTATGAATCTAGACGTATACTTTCAATTGCGAAATTTTAAATGAGGATCATTGAAATTTATGTGTTACCATATTCGGAAACTATAAATAAATCTTTATTTAGTAGCGAATAGCCCCGTGTGTCATGACCTTAGCCGTGGTCCAATGGTTAATATTCTGGCCTCCTTTGTACAATTCTTTCTGGAATTAAAATTGCATTCTTATTAATTAATTCAGTATCAAGGAGTTATCTGAATAGCTGCAGAACTTAACATATGGATGGATTAAATAGGCCATATGTTAAGTTTACTATTTTAAGTGTTGATAATTTTACTATAAATGTTCATATGTAACATATGTATCATATATATCGTATGTATGTTACATAGACATACCGATTCTTTTAACTACTTTGAAAGGTTTAACATATGTATTAAAATACAGTTTTCTCCTGCTATCTGTACGTGAAAAAAAATTTATGAATACATTATTAATTATAATGTTTATTTATTTATATGTAAGATAAAAAATATGTTAATTAAAATCGTATTTGGTTTTCAACAGCCGACTAATCTCTCTTTTAATTTGGTTAAATCCCCTTTGCATCCTAAAAATAGTTATTGCTTATAATAAATCTCTCTAAACTGCGTAATTTCAATATTAATCCATACCATATAACTCTCGCACAGCGCTCATAACGCAGATGTTTCCATAACGGTTCATCTAATAATGATTTAAAATTTGGAAATCAAAGTTTAATTTTAACCAAATATGTTCAATCGACCTCGACGCGACTGCTATTATACCTGTGTATCAACGCTGCTTTTTTTATGTTCACGTCATCAACTTGTAATTCATCATATATGAAAGTGTACATTTTTATCAGAAGTAAATTTTTTCAAGATAAATTAGGTAGGAATTCAAGTTTACAAGACGGCCCTTTTTTAATTGTAAGTTTGACTACCCGTTAATGTTTCATAATTTACATGAACAGGAGTTCTTATGTACAGTTCTACTATTTTTTTTTTTTTTTTCAATTTACTGTCTTTTTGTAATTTATATGTTTTAATTTTAGTTTGTCTATTTGCACAATTTTTTAAATTTAAATTAAGTTTTTATTCTCAACAATATGAGACAACCTGAGAAATAATTTTGAAAAAGGAAATTAATTTAGAACGGTTTAGATTCTTACAGTATCGAGAGGAACGAAACATGTTATTTAGCACTCATTAATCAACCGGTTTAATGTTTTAAATACTTACCCCTTAACAAGTTCTGTTTGAAACATTAAATAAAGGTGATTCATTTATGATCAAATTTAAAAGAAGAAGAGTCTGTTGATTACCTTTTGGAACACATTTAATGTTCGTATGCCTAATGTTCATGACAAAGACAAAAATGTATAGCTTTTTATTGCATAATTGCACAACTCACAAAAGTTTTGCTCCATTTCTTCATACCTACTTTCAAGAACTCCTATCTCTTTTTAGTATTTTGTCGAAATATTGTTTCTCTTCGTGTTTGCTTAATAGTTTTGAACTCGGCTTTAAAACTCAGAGACATGTTTTCTTGCTCGCTGAAGTAAAGTTTCAAGAAAAATAAGTGGCTTCTCCAAAAGATTACACTATGAAGGTTTTATCACCGCTTGATTGAACAACAAGAAACTCGTGCGTATCAAAGAAGTGTGACTTTGATCTGCCTCGAGTACTGAGCTATTTGATTTACAAAGATAATATTTATTGTCTAGGAATTCTTTTTAAAAAGACCATACCTCTCCATTCTTTACAATTTGTTCAGCAATCGTAAAAAGAAAGTGGTCTTCGTTGCGGAATTCTTTATTCACCGTGTATCATTTGACCTTTAGGAAGTAAACGGGAAATTTAACCCAAGTTTTGGTCATTATTATCTCAATTTAGTTCGGAATAATAGTCCGATTTGATTTGATTTATATTTTGATGTGATAAGCTATTTTACATTACGGCCGTAGCAATTTAAAATTTTTCGATGCATTAGAGCTCTCAAATATATATATGGAAGAATAGCCTAGTGAATTACTACCGTATTCCTGGTGAATTTCTGGTACTTTTTATACTAAATTTTACCGTCCGAAAATCGAGAGGGGAAAATTATGCAAATAATTTAAATTCCGAAGGATGTTGTTACAATAAGAACGTAACAAATGACAGTAGTCGTAGATAAACTTCAGGTAACTGCCACAATATTATTTCTTTAAAAAATCCTACAAAAATACGTAATAATATTAACATTGCAATATCTAACATGTCCTTTTTAGTTCACATTTTTATTTTACTTTCCTATAACTTGAATCTCGCCGGTTCTTATTGTTCTCTCTGATAATTCTTAGGCCTCATGTCATCTGCAAATAATCAGAGAAGTTGAATGTGCAACTGACTAATCGAAATCGTAAACTAAATTTCAGTTCGTATTTGCATCTGTGTGATATGTCAGTTCTTATATCAGG